AATGGGCATTACAAATGCATATATATCTACCCTTAACATTAAAGTTTCCTGTGTTTGTCTTCCCTTAGAATCTCCCTTCCTCTCTGCAAAATGCAACTATTATTCCAAATTTGGGGTTGATCATTATCTTGCTTTCATCATAGTAAATACTGTCTTTGTTTCTGACAACAAATTAACATCATAATTAATATCACAATGTATTTTTCTGTTACTTGTTTTCTTCATTCAACATGATTTTAAGAATTATGCAAGTTTATTACTGTATCTGTATTCCACTGATCTTGATGTTGCATAGAATTCCACATTATTATGCCAAAATCTGTGCATCAGTTTACCTGCAAATGGACACTGAGTTGTTTCCAGCTTTTTCCAATTACAAAGAATGCTCTTGTGACTTTTCCTGCACATTGCTCTTGGTGCCTTATTCAATAATTTCCCTAAGGTGCATATATACTTAAGGGTAGAGCTGCTGTGCTTTAGGATATACTCAGCTTCAACTTTACAAAATGCTAATTTTTTTTCCAAGCAGATTATTTCAGTTGGAAGTCCACCATCAGAGTATGAGTTTCCCTCACCCTATATCCTCATCGATTTTTGATAATGTTAGACTTTTCAATGTTTGTCTATTTAGTGATTTTAAAATGTTATTTCAAGGACTGTTCTAATTCACAATTCTCTGATAACTATTGTGAGTGAGCTTCACTTTTGTATATTTATTGGTCATTTATATATCCCTTTTTGTGAACTGCCCTTTCACATCTTTTGATCATTTTCTTCTGGGGCTATTCTTAGATGTTCTGGATACTGATCCTATGTAAATTATGTGTGATATAAGTTTAGTTTGTGGCTTTTTTTTCTTTAGAGTATATTTTGATAAAAGTTTCTAATTTTAATGTGGTCAAATTTATTCATCTTTTCTTATACATTTTTGTTTTTAAAATGTGTATCTTTTTAATAAATATTTTTCTACTTTGAAGTCATACAAATATTTCTTTCACATTTTCATTTAAAAGTTATACAGTTTTGCCTTCAATATGTTGGTCCTTAGTTCATCTGGAATTTATTACGATGTATATATATCCATTAATCCAGTGTCATAAATTCAAACTTACTGAATTATACGTCCTTTGCCCACTGGTCTTTAATGACCATTCTTCATATACAAGGGGTCCTGACGCTCTTTCCATTCTATTCTATTGGCCCAGTCGTCTACTTCTCCTCTCACCAATAATAGCACATGGTCTTAAATCCAGTGGTGTATATATCTTCTCATGTAGTCAGAAAATTCCCCAACTTCCTCTTTATTTTCAATGGTATTTTGGCTCTTCTTGAACTTGTGTTCCTTCGTTTCATTTTAATATCATTGTGCCCAATTCTATAAAACATTTTG